GCTCCTAGTAGCGATGCCAGGAGCCCCTAGTAGCGTTCTTGCTCCTAGTAGCGATGCCAGGAGCCCCTAGTAGCGTTCTTGCTCCTAGTAGTGATGCCAGGAGCCCTACCTAGTAGCGATGTGAGGTGTGCCCCTAGTAGCTTCTTGCTCCTAGTAGCGATCCGAGGAGCCCCTAGTAGCTTCTTGCTCCTAGTAGCGATGCCAGGAGCCCCTAGTAGCTTCTTGCTCCTAGTAGCGATGCCAGGAGCCCCTACTGGCTTCTTGCTCCTAGTAGTGACGCCAGGAGCCCCTAGTAGCGTTCTTCTTGCTCCTAGTAGATGAAAGCAAAGGTTTCAGGAAGCCAAGATTGAACTTTTGGTTGGTCAAATTGTGATTCTCTTGAGACCCGCTCGATTGTAGTTGCAAGATGCAGATTGCGCCTGCGAGGTTGGATTTATGTTCTGAGGAAGATTGCGAGATGAGTCAAAAGGAGCTAGAATTTGCTTGATTCAAAGAAAGAAACACTCGGAAGTACTTGCTACACATAGTACCATTTTGTAGAAACACTTTTGGGGCAGGAGTTTTGTGACCACTTTAAGTTTAGCCGCGTTTAGCTTTTGTTTGTACATCGATGTACAAAAGACTTGGAGGCCAGAGTAGATGCGCTAAGATTAGTTGATTCCTGTGCACTATGCAAATAACTAGCAATAGTCAGCATGTCCATTTGTGATTTGTGCAAGCTTTCTTGCTCTAGGGATCGAATTAAACGCGTGTGCAAAACACTTGCGAGCAAACTGCCAAAATGAAGTGCCAGCTTTCTACATTGACCGCGCACGATCAGCCTCCTCAACTGGCCATTGCTGCCATTGCTTGAGGGTCCCTGCATGTCCAGGCCAGACACGATCTCACCCAAGCGACAGGTCTTGCTCTCTTTGCTTTGTTGGACCAGGCGATTGGCAGTGCTGTTCGCACGTCAAGGCCATCTATTTGCACCGCAACATTGATTGGGCAACACGACAAGATAAAATCCGTTGGCTTTCACATTCTGCTCCCTGTCACTGATATATTATTGTATATAGACATGCATATACCCGTCAATATCCCAAGAAAGGTGGGACATTTGTGTGTTGTGAATTGTGACTTTCAGGAGAAGAGTCACTGGATCAAAGAAAGGACTGAGTCTCAGAGTTGAAGGTAGAACCTTTACAGTTCAGTTTCTTTATATACCTATCCATTTTCAGGTTAACTCCAGAGTTCAGTCCTTTCTCTGTTGTTTGGCTGACCTCTATAGTCTGGAGATGGTTGAGGCCCTTGTCTTCATTTCTTGTATTAACTCTGAAGAATATCCAGGGATGCGATTGTTTTACTCAGTTTGCTCTTGAGCGTTTATTCTGTTTTCCTTGCCACGTCTACTACGTATAAACTCTAGAGTTCAGCCTTTTTGCCGTGAAGATTTGCTGGGCATTATCTCACAAGTTTGTTGTTTTGCTCTTCCAGTTTTGGCTATCAAAGTTGTCTCTGCTTAGCTTCACTTATGGCGGCCATTGGCGTCCCTGGATCAATACTGCTTCTTCTCACACGATAAAGAGAAATCGCAGGAAAAGAGATTACGGAAGAAGGTAGGCGCCCCTGTTCCTTACAGGACTTTAGTCAAGGGACCCTTGCCTTCTATTCGGATCAGTTGTGTGAGATGAAGGTGCTTTCTGCGACACTTCTAGACTCTTGAGGTTGCTTGGAAAGTCTACATATCCGCCACAACCGGGTGCCAAGTCAACACCTTTCCGGCCTCCCACATTACACACTTGCAGGAGGTATGGTCCAGAATTTACCACACAGGTTGATATATTTCCATCTATATACATATCATTTTCCCAACGTGATTTTCTCGTATAAAAATTGCCCTGGCGACCCGGGTTGGGGGTCGAGACCGGGTTTTTGAAGGCGGGCCCAGGTTTACTGCCCACTGAACAAAATTCAATGGCAAACTTCCCAGCTCGTGGCACATCAAGCGGTGGGCCCCACGGCCAGCTGAAAAAGGTTTAGGGTTGAGACCGGGTTTTTGAAGGCGGGCTCTGGTTTATTGCCCACTGAACAAAATTTGATGGCAAACGGCCGGCCCGGTTCGTGGCAAATCAAGGGTGGGCCCCACGGCCGAGCCCTTTACAGCTCAAAGTAGAGCGCTCGAAGTAGGTATTAATTCTAAAAGAAAAAAAATTACCCTAAGCCCTCGGCCCCGTGCTCTGACAGCTCCCGTCTTGGAGGCTTTTGCTGGCAAAAATGCTTTCTCCAAAATGATTTCTAGCATAAACTTGGCGCCGGCAAATTTCCGGGGTCGAAACCGAGTTTTGACAGCCGCCAAGTTTTGTTTATATTCTAACAAACCCATTGCCGGTTTTAGGGCCGAGGCTCGAAACGTGGACTGGAGGCCCTTTTGAAGGCAAAAAAGCCCGGCTAGCTTAGTCATCCTTGGCAGATTACTGAGGTCACACAGTCTCCCCGTAAGGCAAAAACATTTTCCCAAAGCGATTTTCTAGTATAAATTAGAGTTCTCCCCTTCACACAGCTGTAAGTGTTGGTTTTGGGATTCTCCCTTATTCTTCCAGAAAGTTGTTTCGAAACAGTAGTTGAGGCAGGCCTTCCACTCTTTGCCACCGTATCTTTTTGCTTCATCGTTATAGGTCGTCGTGCAGATGTGGTCGGGTTAGCGCAAGTTCCCGTCATACAGCTTTCCATTTTCTGTTTCAGGGCGTCCGGCGCCGACGCCCGGACGACCGGACGCCGGTCACGGAATCGCTGTCCACAAGAAGTGCCCGACGGACGGGCCCCTGTCCGGACGTGCGGATAGGCTCTGTCGAGTCTCGGGGCCAGCTGTTCGAGTGCCCACGTTGGTAAAAGAGGCGAGCAGGTTTACGTTTTCGACGCCGCGTCGTCCTTCGGCGGGCCGCGTCCGCTGAGAAACGGTCATGAGAAACGGTCGCCGTAACGGGCGCCGCCTTGTTTGCCTTGGTATGTCTGCTGGCGATCGCCGCCTACGCCGTTTCCCGGAGCGCGCCCCGCCTGTGGCTCGCACTGCTTCAGACAACCGCCCAGTCCTGAAAACAGCCACCGCGAACGCTGGGCCCGGGGATGCTTGTCACATGCTTTTCTTGCTCTGTAGCGTGTATTTTGCACTTCTGTGGTTTGCGCGCGCGGGGTGGCCTTTTGTTACCTTGCCTTGGGGAAGAATGCGAGGCCGTCCACGGACGCAGCCGCCAAGTTGATGCCCATCACTGGATGCCGTAGCAGCTCGGAGCAGGTGGCGTCGAGTGTACCGCAATGGACATCCTGCCTCGTCTGGATGTGACCTCAAGGGCCACTTGCGCAGAAATTTGTAGAGGTCCACCCGCTTGATGTATGGCGTCTCTTGTCCCGGAGCGGGCTTTTTGCCTTTGCCCATGTTCGGACAGGCGCTAACGCGCGACCGGAAAGATAGCTGCAGCCGAGAAAGCTATCGTGGTAAACGCAAACAAGCACGCGGGCAAGGGCCAGGAGAGCCGCGCAGAAATGTTTGCCTACCTAGCGGCGGCTCAGCCGCAACGGTGGAACAATCAAGCCCAGAGGTTTTATATTGTCTTCTTTCTAATGACAATCAGCTTGCTGAGGTCACCTGATTAGCGCATTGGAGGTCGAGCAACCAGTGTGTTTTTTCGCCGGTCGGTACACGCCCTTCAGTGCATCTGCTTTGTGTTTGGTATTTTTATCCAACGCGAAACGTTTCCCAAGGGAGCAACAGCAAGAAGACACGGTAGGCGCCCCCATCAAGACAACCCTCGCAGCGACTTCCCACGAGGGTCAGTATATGTGAGGGAAAGTGGACAACCATGCCACAGGTTTGTGGAGGTTCTCTGTCTGTCACGGTTCTGTACCCGCCCAGTGAAAGTCGACGCTTGTTTGTTTCGGCGCCCGGGGCCCAAGCCAGTGGATCGGCGGTGCTTCCATTTTGCCAGGAACAAGACACCCCGGTGGTACACGGCGAGCCGCCGCCTACGATGCAAAAAAGAAGAGCTTGAGGCGTACCGCAAGCTGTCCCCGGCCAGTAGGCCCGAGGAAGAGTGCAGGGGGTACGAAGACTCGGCGTTCTGTTCTTGCCCGTTGCGGAACAGTGTGGCCGCCCGCGTGCGACCGACGCGGGGCGAGACCCAATGCCTTTTCTGCTCTGAAGAACAGACGCAGAAGATGGGCGAGGCGGAAGTAGCAACAACGATGAAGACACAGGTAGCCGCGAGGCAAAACAAAGGCCTGGCGGGCGGGGGCCGGTGTGGGACACCGTGGCAGCGTTTTCTTGCCCGCTGCTTGGAGGGGCTGGGCAGCTTGCCATTGAATTTTGTTCAATGGGCAGTAAACCTGCGCCCACCTTCAAAGCCCGGTCGCGACCCCGAACCCGGGTCGCCAGGACAGCGTTAAATACAAGACATCATTTTAGGAAACCGTTTTTTGCCTTTAAGCGTAGGTGAAGCTAAATTGGATTTAATCAAACTTCAACTGCAAAGCAAAAAATGGAATTACACTAGAACCGTAAAGCAACAGAAATTGATACGCACAAGTTTTGAACTAGCTGAAATTGCAAACTAATTACACATAAATTCAAGTATAAGCAAATTACCTACATTAGAACTGACATTAAAATACAGCAGGCCTAGCTTTGAGATAATCAAAAGCAGGTTGGTTTTTTGGGAAGGCTAGCGTGTATATATATATATATGTATCCTTACGGGTTTATTTAAGACTGTGACAAGTTTGTGAAACACCACGTTTTTTTAACGTTTTCATGTTTTTTGGGAAGACAAATAGCATTTCTTTAGACGGCTCGACGGCTCGATGCACTTTCGTCGCGTCGAACGATGTACCCGGTATTCACAAACCAGCGAGATTGGGCTGCTGGTTTCCAATATATGGAGATTGCTGGGTTCCACTTCCTGAGGAAACAAGAAGCGCCCGTTTACTTAATTTGGAACCCCCTGTATTGGTACCTTTGCCCCTTCTTAGTCCAAGCTTTGCCTCTCTTTGTTCAAGCTCTCTTCCAAAAGAATCGGGTGTCTGTCTACAGAACAGAGAATATGGCTACTGTTCTGCGACCCCGGGAGCAGAGTATAGCTGCGCGATGGTTTTGGGCCGCAGGTGTAAAACAATATTCCGTACATGGAGTGCTAGCATATTGGAATATCGCGCGGCTAGCCCTGCAGGATTCATATCTAACTTAGGTTAGATATGAATAAATCCAGACGGGTTTTAAACACGCAGGTGTGCAAGCAAATATGCATGCGCAACGCAACGCGAGTACTAGTGTTGTATAGCAACGTAGAAGGGTTTCTTCTGTATGAGCGTGCAATTTGAACCGAACATTAACATCCCACCCCACCCCACACTCAGTCGTTCGCATTGTGTAGCAAGGTAGAAGGGTTTCTTCTGTATGAGCGTGCAATTTGCACCGATCGTTAACATCCACATCC